GACCACCAGCGCCTCGAGTTTCAGCAGCACCAGCTACATGTCTGTCCAGTCGGAGCGACCAAGGGGGAACAAGAAAATAAGGTGAGCTCCACACCAGCCATGGCCCCTTCTTTAAGTCACTGACCACATTTCGATATTTGCCTGTATTTGCCTAAATCGAAACCTGTGCGAAATTCATGAAACACTGTTTCTTTGATACTTTTCTATGTTTTTTCAATGCTTCTTGAATTCTCTATGCTCTTTGTTTTGAGCAAACTTCGTCAGTTTGAGGTACATCAACATGTAGGATCAAGAATGTCTGCTGTCATTAGGCACTAGATGCTCTTAGATTTGCATTTTTTGAAAACAGTCTGATAAAATACTTAGTGTGGCAAAAAGTCAGTTTAACTTGCAATTTCTTGCCATCAAGGTGAGAAATGTCTCAATTTACTTTTTAAACTAGAGCTGTTCTACTTTAGCACAAGTCTTATTTAATATTTAAACAGGCAGAAATATATATCCACTGTGAATTAATTTTCGACAAGGTGTCCACAGAGCATCTGTGAGCAAAACAGTCCCAGCTTCCTTCATCTGCACCCTGTGTGCACTCAGAGGGACTTTGGATTCAGAACCAATGAAAGATAATTTTAACCCATATGCAGCTGGAAGAAAAAAATGATTTCAGATCAAATTATTAATTCACAGAAATATGTCTTTTCAAGAGAAATGATTCTGAAAAATGATTTTTACATCTCTTGGTTTCTATCAACACAGTTAGGACCAAATTGTGTTTGTCTTAGTTATTTATGATTTTGTATATATGATGCATTGCAATACAATTCTTGTTTAAATCCCTTCAAAGAGGGACCTAAAAGTCTGTCCTAAGAAAAAGCCCCAATTCCAAATTTATCTAGGTTAGGCTCAGGGCTAGCCAACATGCTTATATTTATCATTGCATATTTCTTTTTTTTTTCTTTTTTCTTTTACATATCATTTCTTGTGAGTTCATGCATGCTCTTCTCTCGTAACCTAACTTTACTTTGTTCTTTTCTTTTTCCCTTTTGCATGCCTTGTTCCATTTTTGTTGGCTTCGGAAGGACAAGGGATATAGAGGAAAAAAAAGAGGGAGGGCTGGAAGGGGATGAACAAGATGAGGTGTTTGTTGAGGAGGAAGAAAAAGAGGAGGAGGAAAAAGCAAAAGAGCAAGAAATTAGTGAAAAGGGGGAAGGGCAAGAGGTGACAGACAACTGTGATAAGGAGGAAATGAAAGGATCAGGGCATGAGGAAAAGACTCAAGAGGACCAAGCCGAGGAGGGGAAAGAGGATGTCAGGTAAAATATATTTCTTTTTTTGTAGAGCTGTTCTTTTCCTCTTGTACCTGCACCTTATTTCCTTCCTTTTTTTCCCCCTTTGCATAGTGTGCTGTCTGTGTCCTCTGTAGCCTTTTATCCACAACCATGAAACTTTTCTATTTAAGCAAGTTTCACTCCAAGTCCTGTGAACTTGTTCTGCATACCAAATGATGCAGTACAGTCAATTTACTCTTTATTATGCATGGAACTGCAGCATGCTATTTTTTAAATTGGTTTAGAGTAGAGTTTGCATTTGACTATATAAACAATAGGAATTGTAAGATACTTCTTTATGTTCCATATTTGAATTGTTATTTCAGGGAAGAAGCCTTTTGTTGTGTCATATTTCATCAAAATCAAAACCATCTTTACTTTTCATTTCTTTTCATTTGTGGCAGTACTAAAGGAGTGTTGTTTAATCCTCTTTGTGTAGGTGATAAATGTGCATATTGATTGACAATTTACATGGATAAGCAGAGTCTTCTTTATTTTTTTTTGCTCAGTGTGAATAACATCGTGGGTTGCTGTATTGTGGAAGGGTTATGTACCTCTGCTACTGTATTGTGTCCAGAAACATTTCAGCACAATTGGCTCTGATTTTATCAGCTAATATTCTAGATTCACACATTGCACCACTATTGAACCATGACTTTTATTGTAAATGCACAACATTTTGTATTGCAAAATCCATGTAATTCACATCATCAGAAATAACAATAGTCTGTCTTATTAGCAAAAATGCATTGGAGATTTTCTGAATATTATTGAACCTCTTTTTAACATAGGAATGGCAAAAGATCTCAGAAAAAAAAACTTGCTTTTTAATCTTCTAATATTGTACTACCTATAGATAACATATGCCTTTAAACTGTGCTAGTATTTAATAGGATAAGCATAGGGCATTCTGCAGTATCAGAGAGACTGCATTCCGCTTTTTTCCATTGCTACATATATATGTGAGCACCTGCTTGTACATACACTCACGCGCACGCACACACATACACACACTCATTTCTTTTATTTCTAACAAGTAATTGCTCTCACAAAGTGTTCTAAGTAGAGATGAATCAAAGCCAGTTCACCTGCCATGGATTGGAGAAAAAAAGAATTCTCGAAACAATTCTCAGAGTGATATGAAAAAAATAAAATAAAAAATGTAGTGTTCAGGCTGGGTTTATATGGGGCCATGTAGCCATACTACCACCTTTGTATAATGTGTCATCATTCCTGTACTCATGTGAGTGCATTTTAGAACTCATCAAAATCAGCTGTTGGTAAACACCTGATTTTAAAATTGTCCTGTATTGCTCCAGGGACTTCTAGAGGATCCTTTCAGGAAAGTATGTTTTGAAGACCTTTTTTTTCTCCAGGATCCCAGTAAGTTCCCAGTTTGATGGGATCTGGAAGTCCTGCCTCTTGTATAGGAACAGAAACAAAAGTCTTTGAGATGCAACTTCTTGTTCCCTGTTCCAGCTCACACCTTTGCCTTTAAGCTGATTCCTGCCTTCAGGAATGCAGCAGAAGTCAGGAATCATTTGCTAGGAAGTAGCTGCTCTGCAGTGACTTAGCATAAGATTTCTGCCCTAGCCATCAAAATCAGCCCCTTGCCCACTTTGCCACTTTGCGACCCCTAGTATAAATGTTGTGAATAAAAGAATAGTTACTCTGTATCCAGCTTCCTTTCAGTATGGTGCAGTATGTGCTCATACTTTCAGTATTTTCTAAGCAAACTTATAAAACTTCATATATGAGCTCATCTGCATGTACAGGTGTAGTTTTACTGAAGTACAGTCTTGGTGAAATTGGGAAATACACTGCATTAGGTGCTGGAGTCCTGGAGTGTAAAAAGTTGATACATCTTCTAGGCAGAAATAACTATAAAGTCAGATTTTGCTTTCATTAAACCTTGTAAAACTAAAAAATGGCATGTGGTTGATGTACAGCTAGCACATAATTGTGTCCTTTTGGTAAGGCATGTTAGTAAACTTGAAGCATGAAGCCTGCTTTCCTGATGTAAGTTTTAAGTATTCCTTATGTACAGTTGTTTTGTGTCAGTGCTGCTAAGTATTTTGCTTGAATGGAAGATGTTATTAATTTCTTATTCAGCTTACTTTTTTTCTATTAGATAAGTAATTCCCTGATGATATCAGGGACAAGAGATGTAGATCTCTTAGATCTCTACAGTATGAGCAATCATAATTTTTACTTGCAAGAAATCTGTTTCTGACTAGTCTATAGCTTAACTTTTCATTTTTTAACTAAATACCAACCCAAAATATTAATTCTTACAATTCTTATAATCATTTTTGATTTTTGATGTCATATCAATACACACTAACTGTAGTCATGAACCTGGGTTTCACTGGCATAGATGATGCTCAAATACAAGTCTCAGAGGGAAAGGTCAGCAATACTGAATGAAAATTGATGTTTCACTGTAGGGTGCTGAAGAAAAAGGTTGCCATGTAGGCAGGAAAAGACTGGAGGGGAGAGGAATTCTGTGAACTATCAGGGCAGAAGGGATAATATTTTGATGTACTGTTGCTGAAGGTATCTTGGTCTTGGGGACAGCAGTGATAAAGCCCGATGGGACCCTGACAGCTGTCTGAGAGGAGAGAAAATGAGAATCTACTAGAGCCGTGTTGAATGAATGACTAGAAAAAGAGAAAATTCAGGAGATGATGCCCTATGGAGGCTGAAAGAGGACAGCATTTCAGAAAGAGTTGGTTATTATTGCAAGGCAAGGGAGAGTACAGTGTATTTTCAAAATCCAAATCATTAAAGATTTCAGCTGAAACAATTTCAGCTGAATGAAGAAGGTGAAAATTTGGAAATAGTCTGAAGTGGAATTGGAAATTAAAACCTAAGCAGAGCTATTCTAAACAAGGGGTTCAATTAGTGCAGGGATGGCAAAGAGAAAGGTGGCTAGAAGTAAGAGTAAAGATAATAAGAGAGGAAGGGAAGTCAGATGAGAGCATGCAGTCACTTGGGCAAATGAGAGGAAGAGAGGAGAGAGCCAGTGAGAAATTTCTACATCCACAGCAGGGCAGAAGGAGGAGAAAAGTGTAAAGGGGAGAATGCACAGATACTACAAGAGAAGAACAGATCGTGTTTGCTATATTGTAGATGAAATAAATGTGATGCTGTGTGAGAAAAAATAAACGAAAACTAAAAGAAGGATAAATACGATCGATTATAAGGAAGATGATAGAACTGAAGAAGGAGAGAATGAATTCGTAGTAGGAAAAATCATTTCTTCAGAGGCACTCCATGGCACAAGCAGCAGCGAGGAGAACAATTTTAAGCAAATGGTTTGTCAGAGATACGAATTGCTCTCTTCCTAACTGTTCTTTATGCTCTTCATGTCATTTCTTTTGTGGTTTGTAAAGATTCAGCCCAAGTTCCCTTCCCTTTTTAGTTCTTTTCTGTGTGTGAGTCAGTTGAAAATATTTAGAGAATTTAATTATATAGATTTTGAAACTGATTCCCAGTGAGCATTTGTTTCTTACATTTCCTTTATATTGTAACATTAGTATTTCAATTTTTATGAATCTTCCACACTGATGGCAGCTATTATCAATTAAATGCAATTTTTGCAAAGCTGGATGAAAAGCAGGTCAACTCAGTATGAGCAAACTCCTCAGTAGCAGCAAAGAAGAGTAACATTCTCTTAAAACTTATCTTCTGGTAAAAATATCAAAAAATGTGCAAGAGGTAGCGAACATTACGTATCTGTTTTCGGTGTGCGTG